GTGCACTGCGTTTGCAGATTGGTTTGTGGTAGCTGTAACGCTCCAATGTTAGAGGGCCTAAAGGAAACCTGTACTAAAGGATGTATGGAGCCTGGTGTTGTTGACCCCTCTCTCTCGATGAAAATGCTTGTTGCCTCTCTGTTGTACTAATCCAAGGGTTTCAAAACCTTCTCAATCACTGACACGGTCTGCAGGAAGAGTTTTTTTTTTTCTACTTCACTTGCCTCAGGTTTGTTCCAGGTCAGCGACAATTTAAGAGGTGACTACGAATGGTAGCTTTCATATTACTTAAAACAAGTATCCTTTCAATCATTTGCCTGTTACTTACCCAGCCCCCATACAATTTTGAAGCCCTGTGAAACAGTATGTAACAAATCAAGACATTTCATTGATTGAACTATAAACATTGTTTGCATTTTACATGTTACACAAACTTAAAAAGCCTTAGACAGGCTCTATCATTTAGAAAAAAAGGCTTTGATAGGTACCTAAAACAAGGCATAACGTTAAGGAAAAAACCTTAAAAATATAAGACACCCCTTGAATTCTGGAGCAGCTGCCAAGTATGATATAAAACTAGTAGCCTATTTTACTATCTCCCCACCATGAATATAACATACATGTGGAGAAGGCTTAGTGGATGCGGGTGCCTTTTGGGAATTGGTACCGACCCAGCTCTGCCTTCTCCTATCTTTTTCTTATTCTTTGAAAATAATTTTATGGGAAAGAGAAAGAATAAATTATGCCAAAATGCTCATAGCTTAGACGCTTCGCTCTTGTGCTTCTAACAGAGACGTCCTGAATGATATCTATACATGGCTATAATGGTTTCCCAAATGTATACTGGGCCTGAGGTAAACCTTTTTCCTTATAAACTAGTAAAATGTGTTTACCTGCATTACAAACTAACACATCTAAAAAAACACAAACAACTCAACAACTGACTTGTTTTTGTCTTAAATGTCATATACATCGTCATTTATTAGGCAGCCACTGCTGATTTTAATAATTTAATGGAATGGGTGTTTTGCAGGGGTAAAAAAAAAAAAAAAAAAAAACTAGGAGGACTGGCTATTCTGGAATCCTGACCTGTGGACAGTAATAATTAAATGGTCTCTGGTGGTGCATATATGTCTACATGTTTACAGTTACAGGGAAGTTTAGAACATAATGTAGAGATAGCCATAATTACATAACAGATGTATTCCTCTGCAGAGTAGACGTCGCAAACATGTAATGACAGAACTGTTACAAACCAGGCAAGTGTCGTGAATGAGATTCCTAAAACGAGAAGTCCTCTTCTTGTTGTGATTCAACTGCAAGAGGTGCATCTTTAGTAAATGGTGTAGAAGTGTTGAAAGAAGTTAGGGGTTACCTGATGCTATTGTCAGATGAGATGGGGCACATTTTAACCACTTGAAGACCGGGGTGTTAAACCCCCTTACTGTCCAGGCCATTTTTAAGTATTCAGCACTGAGGTAGTTTGACTGACATTTATTCAGGCATGCAATGTCGTACCGAAATTAATTTTATGCCCTTTTTTGGAACAGATAGGGCTTTCTTTAGGTGGTATTTAATCACCACAGCAGGGTTTTTTTATTTTTTAATTAACAAAGAAAAAAGTACCAACAATTTTGAAAAATGAAACTGTCTCCCCTAAGATTTGCTATGAAACATTTATTAGCCAATTTTTTTGGAAAATATATAAGATTGAGTCATGTTGGATAAATAGATACCAAACATGCCAAACAAGAAAATTTAAATAAATACTTAAAATTGTGTGTGCCCGTGAAATCACAAAAAACTACCATACCCTAAATTGGCCGAAGGCGATGCTTTAAAAGCTTTTACCATCAGTTTAGTGTTAACAGTGAATAATGGCCCTAGAATTATTGCTCCCACTCTGACATTCACAGTCATATGTAACGTGTGGTGTGATCGTCGTTTCGCACATAAGCGCACCCAACATTTGTTTGTATGTTCATGCATGTGGGGGTGGGGAACTTTAAAACTTTTTTATACACTTAACTTTATTGCTATCGCATAGGGGGCTAATAATCCCCCTACATGATAGCACATATACAGTAACAGGTCCGCTTTATGGAGACATCAGGGGCCTATTAGACCCGTAATGTCACCTAGGGATCCCACGGAAGCTGTTAAAGCAGATATGCTACTTCAGCTTTTTCTCCAATCTTTTCTCTGATATTTATTGATCAGAGGGGAGATCAGCTGGTTGAATGTGCTGATTTCCCCTCCAATTCAGCCATAGAGACCTGCAGTGCCAGTTACAGGCCCACATAGCGGACAGCGGAGCCCGGGATAGCTGACAGCAGCAGCAGAAGGAACACTGCAGTCTGTTTACACCCTGTCCACATACCCTATGTCCACATACACTATGGTGATAACAGGATGCATGTGTTTTTTCATAGGTCATAGGGCATACTTTCTAATTGTTGCTAGCTGCAACAATTGGGCCTTTTAAAAAAAATATTGACAAAGGTGAAATATGCCCTGACATTCCACATCAGCACAGAAGCATAGAGTTTCCTTTGAGAGAGCATTAGACAAAGTGATTTACAAGCAGAAGATTGTGGGAGAAAGGGGCAAAGTGTTTTCACCGCAAAACATAAGTACCCAAACAAGGACCTTTATATCAGTATTACCAGCTGTTATTTTATGATAATATTATGCTATATCTTGTATGAGATTGTAGAGGCTGAGTTTACATTACCTTAACAATGTATGCTTGAGTTTTTTTAACACCTTCTTTTCCATTAATTAGGAGGGTTTTGTGTTCCTTTTTGTTCTTTTTAAATTATAACTTTTAGTTTAGGTTGATTAGAGCGCATCAGACACTTATTGCTAAGTCTGTTCAAGAGCTGCCTTTTTACTCAGCATCTCATTCTTGGAAAAAAATGCAACAACACTGTGCACCTAGCACAACCTCACCCCAGGTGCACTGCATCCCCTTGCTATAGCTCCATATACACAATTTTTCTAAAAAATATCAGAGCTATTTCCCTTAGGCATGGTTTGGTAAAAATTGGTGTGACCAGGTACAATAGTCTAAAATTGTGGATAGTCTAAAACACAAACAAAGCAAATGTCTTGCTACACTAGAAGTTCAAGTGTATCATTCACAAAACATCAAGGGTTTAATACATTTTCTGCACTAGAAGTGGGATTTTTTTTTCCATCCTTCTGTTGTAACACTGTGGTTGTGGTTTGTACTTTTCTCTTGAATGGAGAAAGTTGAATGGACTCTGGATCCACATAACACGTTTTGACTTACCGCCAAAAAAGTGGGATGGCTGCAGCCATTCTCTGCTGTAATAATATCGTGGAAGTGTGACGAGGACTTCTCATGTGTATGACTCACTGCTTTTCCCAGCAGTTTTTCTTAGTACAACCCTGACACTGACCATGAGAGGTTTGGTCCAGTGATTTACTACCCCTTTCAAGTCCTCTTTTGCTAAGCATAAGTTCAAAGGGAACAAGTCAGTGATTTGAGGGAAATCTTCCTTACAGAATTCCCCTGTATGGGTTATCCTTTCTTCTAGTACTTCACTTTTTAAGGTTTATCGTAATAGCTAATACAGCGTGAACTGCTATGCTTGAAAAAAGGCTTATCAAATTTAATCTCAAATTTCCACTGACACCTCTGTAGTTCATACTGATATCTGTCACAGTTACTTCCAATACAAATATTAATTATATTAATGCGTGGTCTCACAATATGGGAGGTAATCATGTCGCAGTTAAGTTATTCTGCTATATCTGTCAAGCACAGCTTTTGTTGTAATCTAATTGGGTACATACTGTTTATTTTAAAGTGCATTTAAAAGCATTTGCAGATTTAAAAATTGTTTAAATGCCAAGCCTGACAAAACTTGGCAGCTCAGCAGTAAAACATTCACAACTTCCTCCTTCCCAATAAAGGCATTTAACTTATTGTTACTGAGAAACAGAGCGGATGCATTGCAATTATTATTTTAGCTTCACAAGCTCAGCCTGCTGTTCCTTTCATTTTTTCAGTTTGTTTTATATTTAATTATTCAGTTTATCCCTGTGCGCACATCGACATATATGTGTACATACAGACCTGGACAAAATAATTGAAACATCTAAAATTGTATTAATTAACTAATTAGGTGCAGGGGCACCCTTGGAATACAGAATAACTTCAGTCATTCTTGGATTGCTGTTGGTACAAGGATGGTGCCTCCAGTTCTATGACCTCCCATAAATATTTAAAGGGTTATTCACAAAAGGGTGAAGGGTTTGGAGAAGGCAGGAGAAGTGAACAATCTAGGACAACATAGCTGAACTGGAAAGTGAGCTGAATTGCAGAATTTTTCCAAAACCGCTATTTTGGCCTAGATTGTTCTCTTCTCCTGCCTCATCCAAACTCTTCTCCCTTTTGTAAATAACCCTGTTTAAGGTTTGTAATATACTATTTTTCTTTACATCTGTTTGTTATGGTGAGCAATGAAAAAAAAATATGTTTTAGCTTTAGAATATATGGTATTTTAAGACAGCAGGGAAAACTCTGGTATAATGTCCTTGTTTTCTAGGCCATCCTTGACCAATTCTGCTGATGGAATGCCAATTGTTTAGAGACCTCAGTAGCTCAATTACAGTTTACATAGAGCTAAATGAGCCAGAGGCCTTACAGAAAATAGGACCTTTTTTTTTTTAAATCCGAGAGACAGTGTTTTACCTCCTAAAGGTGCACAGCTTCCTCTTTAGAAAACCCATAATGCCTGTGAAACCTGTGTCATGGGTGAACCATGTTTTAATTTAAAAAACAGATATTTTTTCGATAATGGAGCACTAGTGACTTTATGATTTCACTCATCTATGAAATATTGGGATATCTGTGTAACTTTTTGTCCCATAAAGTGGGCAGGATGTAGGTATTGCCCCTCTTGTTACATTGCTTGTAACCTTTGACTCAAAAATTTAAGATACAGTATCTGTGTACCTCTGTCTTGCAGGCGGAGCAGGATTTGGGTATTGCCCTACTTGTTAGTGTGGAGTACCTATGACCTTGTACTTTCATCTGTGATTATATATATAT